GGCGGGTTGGGGGGCGGGCTCGGGTTTTGGTTACAGAGCTGCATCCTGGCTGCAAAGGGGGCTGAGCCCTGCAGTGAGGGTCTGGCCCGGGGTGCAGGGCAGAGGTGACCCTCCATGTCCCAGGCCCCTTCTTCCTTGTCCTGCTGTCTTTACCCTCTTATTACCTCCCCAACCTGGAACCTTTCTCACTTCAGGATGTTGCTGCCCAGGCCGTGGTGGGGCAGAGTCCAGGACTGGCTGAGGTCTTTGGATTCCAGCAACCCCCGGCATTTCTGCCTGCTCATGAGGGAGGCTTTGAAGAAATGGCCCACTGGGACAGTGTCCCAGGCTCAGTGTACCCCAGGGGACAGGCTGTTCATAGTCTGTCCATTACCCAGGACACTCTAGCTTTGCTGGGTGCTGGTCCCAGCTGTGTGGATGGAACCCTTCCAGAGTGGCAAGGCACCAGGGCTCTCTTGTGGCTCCAGTCTTGCATGAGTATCTGGAGGCCTCCCCTGTGCCTGCTGAGAGTCGATCCTGCCCGAGGTGGCCTGGCCCAGCCGCCAGTTCCAGCTCTGGCTTCTCTTCCTGGGGCCCCTGCCCTTTGGGGCCACAAGTGCAGGACCGGAGAAGGCCCTTTCTGCTTCCCACCAGGCACCAAGGCCTACTCCCTGAAACCAACCTTGCCCCAAATCAAGAGAGCCCAGCTGGGGATGAGGCTGGCACCTGCTCCTGGTGCCCTAGAAGGAAGGAGGCTTGGCCCAGGCCCTGTCCAATCTCAATCCCAGCTCAGAGCTTGCCTAGCTCAGAGCCTATCTAACTCAGTACCCAGCACATGGCCCAGGAGCCCCACTCAATCTGTAGCCAAAACCCAGTCCAGAGCTCAGTATCTCCAAACCTGCTAACAGGAGGGAGCTGGTAGGTGGCCAGGGCCCGAGATTGGTAGGGGGTCTTGGAACAAGAGGAGAGTGAGACTCAGGCATTGTGATGAGAAGTGCAGCCTGCTGGGGCGTCTGCTCTGCCTGGAAATCAGCGGGCTCCTATCTGTCCCCCTCTTGCCTGCTGTGGCTCCCTGAGATCCCCCAGCCAGGGATCCTGGGTCTGAACTCTGTGCCCCTGCGCCAGGTGGATGCTTATACCACTTGAGCCCCTGTGGTGGGGAGGGCTGGGATGGAGGGCAGACCAGAGGCAGCCCTGGCCCCTTGGGTTACAGATCTGGGAGGTAGAGCCCAGAGATGCCTGGTGAGGCCCCCTGCTTCCTGCTTGGCTGGACCAGCCCCAGGTGGCAGCAGATCTGCCAGCCAGAGGGGCTAGAGTTAGGGGGCGGCCCTGTCCAAGCTGGGCCTGCCTATGGATTCCCGGGCCCTGATGACCAGTCTCCCAGGAAGTGGAGAGCACCCCAGATTCAGCTGGAGGGACAGGGCTTCGAGCCCCACCCAAGGCCTTGGCACCGTTTCCACCTCTCGCTTGGAGCCTAATGGCTCCCTTGCGACATAGACAAGCCGGCCTATTAGTGCCGGGAAGAGGCTGGGCAGAGCTGGGTTGGGAAGGAGCACTGCTCTGGGAGTCCGGAGTTCCAGATTGTCATCCTGACTCTACCTCTCACTTTTGCAACTGCAGGAGGACCATGTCTCCTCTCTGGGCCTTGCCTCCCTGTCTGTAAGGGGCATGGGCTCCCTCAGGGCCCTCCCTGCCCTAATGGAGGCCAAATAACACAGGGTAGGGGGTGGAGTCACACAGACCTGCACGTGAGCCCCAGCTGGATGGCCTTGGTTGGGTAAATCACATCACATCTCTGCAAAATGGGCAAGAATCGTACCTATCTCAACGAATGTTTGTTGTGAAATTTAAATAATGCAATGTGTAAAGCGCTTAGCACAGGGCCTGGCTCTCCCGTGAGAGTAACTATTTTTCATGTCCTTGGAGGCAGTGAGCAAGCATTTTGTTCCCATGTTTCTCAGGAAAATGTGGAGGCTCCAACAGGGAAAAGACATGTCATAGGGCTCACAGCCAACCACAGTACTTGAACTTGAGTCCTCTCACTGCAAGTCACGTCATGTAGCCCTCAGCCTCTAGCAGCCATTGTCTCTGTCCCTTGGCTGCCTGCAAGGGCGTGTGTCCTCTGGGGGACACCTGCGGGCACAGTGATGCTTCCTGCTGCTGGCTGCTCCCTGACCCCTGACTTCCTGCCCTCCCTTCTGAGTGCAGGCCTGGCTTTACTTGCTGTGAGTCATCAATCACGTCACCCTCCACTCAGACCCTCTGCAGGATTCCTTTCTCTCCTGGCCCACTTTCCACCAATTCTGCCCCACACCCGCTGCCCTTAGTGGGACAGGCCCCATGGGGACCCTTCAGATTGCACACTTTCTGTGGTGTCTGCCCAGCCCTGGAGGGCCCTGAGCACTTGGGCATGTGCATGTGAGCACGAGTGTACACGTGAGCATGTGTGTAGGGGTGGAAATGGGATTAGAGTCTGCTGTCCCAATGCCACTGGGGCCGCGGACACCCACCCACGCCCATGTAACCCAGGAACGCGCCTGGCCCCATTTTGTACCCATCTGCATGGAGTACGGCCTACATCCACGTGTCGGCAGCTGTGCTGGCATATCAGAGCCATGCTCAGTGGCCTCCAGGGCTCCCACCCTGGCCACAGGCCCATGGCATGCAGGCTTGCTCTTGAGTACCACACACGTGTTCCAGATGGGGCACATGTGCTGACTTGCGTGCCTGCCATGGCCCTGGGGAGCAGGGAGTCTGGCAGGAACAATCCCCCCGATGCAATCATCCGCTCATTTTCTCAGCACCACAGAGACACAGCTGGCTCCTTGCTGCCCACCACCGCCGGGCACAGCTGCCAGCCCCGCGGGTACAGGGGATACAGTGAATTATCAGCTGCTACACTCAGTGTGGGGGGTGTAGTGATGGTGTGATGGGCCAGTGACAGCTACCCTGCCCCATGTTGCAGCAGTGCCCACACCCCTGAGCTGGGCTCTCCAGAGGAGTGTGTGTATATGTGTGTGTGTGTGTGTGTGTGAGGAGTGTGTGTGTGTGTGTGTGTGTGTGTGTGAGGAGTGTGTGTGTGTGTGTGTGTGTGAGGAGTGTGTGTGTGTGTGTGTAAGAGAGCTGCCAATGAAGACTCCTGCTCCCTCACTCTCCTCTCGAGCCATCTTTTCCCCATCAGGATCCCGCAGCCTGGGTCCTGCCCATTCCCCAGGACTGGGTGCACAGGGTCCAGGTCACCACAGGGACAGAGAGACAGAGGAAGTGAGATAGAAACATGAAAGGAAGTGAAAAGGAATAAGAAGGATAGCGAGAACTGAGAAGGAAGGACGCGAGGGAGAGTGGGGAGAAAAATGGAAAGAAAAAAGTGAGAAAGGGAAAAAGGAGGGAGAAGAAAGGAGAGCTGAAACAGAGGAGAGATGGAAGGAAGTAGGGAAAGATGGACAAACAGGGTAACAGGGTAGGTGGGGCTGAGGTGCAGCCACATAGGCCACCTCTGTGGTATGCTCCATTTCATCAGTGCCTACGGTGGGGGGCAGAAAGGTGGATGGGATTGTACTGAGCCCAGCAGAACAATCACCTCCTTTGTTTAGAACATTATGCTTCCATTAATATGGCCTCACAGCACATTTGCTTTTATTTGTTTTTTAAGTAGCATTATCATTCTGTTGGGACCTGATGAGCTGGAGGTCCTGTGGCCTCCTCTCCTCCCAGACCCTGTGCTTTGTCCTACAGGGATTGCTGCAAAATAGGACTAGGAGACAGGATGCCCAAACCATCAGCTAAATTCCAGTGCAGGCTCAAAGAACAGAGCTCCAGGACTTGAAGATGGCGGTGTGCTCTTCCATGATTCAGAGAGAGGAGTGTGATGGGGAGGGATGTTTGAGTCTCAGTAATGATAGCTTCCCATTTATTGAGCATTTACAATGTGTCAGTCACTGTGCACATCTCATTAAATCCATAGAACTGCCCTGGAGGAAGGGGATATCATTCACCCTATTTTACAGATGAAGAAACTGAGGGACAGAGAAGCTAGGATACTCATCCAAAATCACACAGCCAGTAGGTTGTGACTTATACACTGGCCTGAAACCCGCCGGTGCTCTAACCATTATGGAGCACCACCTCTCCCCTGGGCAATGACAGGGTGGTCTCAGTGGCCATTGAGGGCGGTTTCAGGGCTTTCATGTGTGGAAGCCATTCATTGCTGGGGACAGGCTCAAGGGTCTGGGGCACTGCTGGATGGCACCCAGCCCTTCCCCTACTTCCCCACCTGTGCTTCCAGCCCTGCCACAGTGTTCATGCCCTGCCGCTGCCCACCGGCTGTGCGGCCCCCGAGCACAGGCCTCTCCTCTCTGCCTCTGAATTGCGACGTTGGCGGCAGAAGCGGGAAGCATATTGTGCGCAGAAACAAAACCGAATGGTTTTTCCTCTTTCTGAAGGTGGTAATGGTGCAATTAGTGGCTAAGCCATTACCCGCCCCCCCTTGCTCGCCTCTCCTCCTTCCCCCCTGCCTCCCTCCCTTTTCTCTCCTGGGAAGAGGTGGCTGGATTGCAGAGCTCACCCCATCCTTCTCCCCCGCCCCAACTTCCAGGAAGAGGGGCAGAAATGGAGGGTACCCAGTTATCTCCAGGGGCCTAGGGTAGTGAGTCACGGACTTGCTAGGGTTGATGATGTGTCCGGCAAGTGAGGTGACCAGGAAGGGGGTGTGGAGGTTCGGAGGGGTGGGCTAGAAACCCAGAAGGTTTGAATCCCTGGATCCCACCCCACCCTCCAATCTGTACTCCTGGGGGCAAATGCTGACAGGATGCTTGAGCTGTCTGAGCTGTGAAGTGAGCTAAGGCACCCTCTGTCCTGAGCGAAGGAGGTGAGTGTGAAAGGGCCGAGACTTTAAGTCCAAAGCTGGAGTTTTGTGAGTAGTCATAGTTCCCCTTTAGACCTGCCTTTTCCTGTCCTAGAAACTAAAAAGAGGCTTCATGCTTACACCCTTTCCAAAGGCCTTCCAGCCTCCTCCACCTTCAGAGCCTTCCTCTACAGTGGCAGTTTTGTTCCCCTGCCTTGTAGAAAAGGAGCTAGAGGCTCAGAGGGGGTCAGTGACTTGCCCAGAGTCACACAGTTAATAAATGTCAGGGCCAGAGCTTGAACTCAGATCCTTAGTCTTAAACTCCAGTCCCTTTCTTTCTTAACCCCCTGGGTCTAGGGGTGAAATCTTGAGGCCTTAGCTATGGCTGCTGTCCTGAAGAGTTGAAGTTGACAGGGAAGTTACCCACAAAATCTGGGAATGAAGGTTTCAGGGCAGGTCCATGCTGCTGGCCCAGCCCCTGGTACCCCAGGCCATGCTCCCCTCCCCGCCGCTGCCTCCCGCAGCTTTTCCCTTGACTTGAAGCGCAAGCAGAAACTAGGACACAAGCCCCAGGAGACTAGATCTCCACAGCTCCTTTGGGGGCATGGGGTGGGGGAGAGGTTACGGGAGAGGCCTCGGGGGGGACAACTGTCACAGCAATGAGTGGTGGGGTAGCAGGCAGCCAGGGCTTTTCCCTCCCGAATCCTAGTGTCTCCTCTGCACTTCTCCCCCAATCTAGAGGGCCAGCATGATAGGCAAGGTGGTGGAAGAGCAGACGGAGACAGTGAAATAGGAAAGATAGAGGTAGAGCTAAAAAAATTACAGAGGGGAACAGAAAGACAGTTACAGAGACTACAGTGATCCACAGAGGGACAGAGGCATCCCAATGAATTAGCTATCGTTTCCCTGTAAACCTCAGAACTCGGCTGTTGCCAGGGCAACAGGGCAATACCTGTCTCTCCAGCAGGGAGGAAGTTGCCAGGGTAACTGCATCCTGTCTTTCCCGGGGACCATCCCAGAATGTGGCTCCCACCGGCCGTTACCATGGTAACTGCTTTTTTGCCCCACTGAATCCCATCCCGTCTGCTACAAGGGCCCCACAGTTAGGGGTGGGGGAGGTGGGAACAGAGAAGATCACTTATGGACTGAGTTTGTTCTCTGTCCCTCCCCCACCCCTCCCCTGGCTGATCACCCCTAGGGGTACTGGATCCACCCTCCCCGGGCCCACACAGGCCTGCAGTATTGTGCACAGTAGGGCCAGGCGATCGGGAGCAGGTTTCACAGTGGAAGGCAGGCAGGTGTTGGGGAGGCAGTTACCGGGGCAACGGGAACAGGGCGTTTCAGAGGGGGTTGCCATGGGGACCTGGATGCTGACGAAGGCTCGCGAGGCTGCGAGCAGCCACAGTGCCCTGCTCAGAAGCCCTGGGCTCGTCAGTCAAGCCTGCTCTCGGTTGGCACTCGGCAGCACGGGCAGGCGAGTGGCCCCTAGTTCTGGGAGTAGAGCAGCAGTGTCCGAGTCCTGGTCCCCCGGCCCCGAAGCTCGCCTGCCTGCACAGCACCAGGATGGCCACCATCACCTGCACCCGATTCACGGAAGAGTACCAGCTCTTCGAGGAACTGGGAAAGTGAGTTGCTCCTCCGGGAGTCCTGGAGGGCTCAGGGGGTCAGCGCTGCGGGAGGGGAGCGTGTGCCTGCAGTGCCCACTGCACATGTGCATGCCTGCGCTCAGGCACTTGTGTGCACAGGGTGCCCAGAGCCGGTGCGGGCATGTTTGCGGGCGCACAGATGTGCTGAGGCCACCCAGGCAGTTGTGTGTGTGTTGGGGTGAGGGGTTGATGTGCACACCAGTGCACAGAAACCTACAAGTACGTGTGACCTGGGCACACAGACTGTTAGAAACTCAGGGTTGAAAGGGGTTTTACCAGTCAACTGCATCCAACGCTGGAATCCCCTCTCCTGTTTCTCTTGGGGTGGCTATCTGGCCTCAACTTGGATGCCTCCAGTGATAGAAAGCTCACCACCTCCTAGGTAGTCCTTCCTGACTTTACACCTGGACCAGCTGTGCAGAGTGGCCAACCTCTACCTGTAAGCACCTTCCTCTCCCAGCTCCTGCCAGGAGTGAGGGCATGGGTACAGCAGGGGTTAATATCTGAGGGACTGGCCAGGCTTCCCTTAGTATTGGGAGGAGGGGAAGGGCAATCAGGCAAGTTAGGGGGCTACCACTGTTGCAGGGGGCTAGTAGTACAAAGGGTGAATCATCTCTGGTCCTTTGGTAAAGTTCCCAGCCCTGGAGTTCATTTCCACCTCTGATGACTGGTGTTGGAGAGAAGGGTGGGAGGACCAGGGCAGAGGGGAACTCCTTGGGGTAGCCTGGTAGGCTGTGGAGTGTCAGGGAAGGGATCCTGGATGCTCTAGCTAGGTTTGTGGAGGGTCCTGGGATGGATCAAGGGCTGGGGTGCAGTTTGGAGGCGGAGTCTGCACTGTGGGCAAAGGAGCTCCAGTGCTCTGGTTGGTTCCTGCTCTAGCAGCAGGCGTGCAGGAAAGAGGGCCCTTGTAAGCAGATGTGTGCTGGTGTGAGGTCTGGAGTGTGCATTTTGAAGGGGATCAATGTGCGGTGTTGTACAAGGACTGGATGTGGGGTGCAACTGAGTGCACTGAGAGGATGTGCAAGTGTTCACGTATGTGCACCAGTAGGAGGTGCTAGTGCATGCTTCATGTGTAAGACCTGGAAATGCAAGTGTGTACTGCATGGGTGTATGTGTGCAAATGTCACAAGGGGTGCCATTGGCTGGTTGGCATGGAGTAAAAGTGTGAGCATGCATCACTGTGTGTGCACATGGGTGGTAGTTCGGAGAGGTGTGCATGTCAGTAGGTAAACGTGTGTGAGGTCTGGCCGTGTGCAAATATGTCTGTGTAAGGATGTACATATTTGTGTTCATGTGAGACTTGGGTGCAGTTGTGTTTCTATGAGGCCTGGACATGTACATGTGTGTGAGGACTAGCGTGCACACACAGCAATGTATACATGTATGTGTGTATGTATGCACAGGTACACGTGTGAGGCCTGGGACCATAGGCTTGTGTGGGAGTGTGGGTGTTGTAGGCATGTGTGAGCTCATGCTGGGTGTCTGCATATGTGTGGGAGGTAGGCCTGTGGCTGTGTACAAGTGGGCTGCCTGTGCGTGCACACACACACACACACACACACACACATGGTACTCTGACACCTACAGCACACACAAGCTCCCTCATATGGACACACACCCATGTGCAGATGTCTATTTCCTCATGTCTGCAGGCTTCCAGGCTTTCTAAGTAGGTTTTTATGCTGAGGAGGGGTAGGCAGAAACAAAATGTTTAGGGCTGTTCTGGAGGACTGAGACTGTCCACTGAACCATGGGCCTGGCCAGGGACCCCTTCTCCAGCTAGTTTTCAATGCTCACCTGGAACCCAAGAATTCTCTGGTTAACCAGGAGCTCCTTTTTGGGTACAGCCCAGGCTTGGCTCTGGCAGGACTGCGTCACACAGGCAGTGAAATGGAGTTGAGATGTGACTCAGGCACTCCAAGTGAAAAGAAAAGTAATGTTTTGCCCCGAGAGGAGATGGTTATCATTGAAGACTGGGTTCTGTGGGCGCGACTTGGCAGGGAAGATACCCTGTGAGCCTTCTCAGCCCCACTGCCTGCCTGGGCTCTTTGAGGGACCAGGGGAGAATCAGAATTCCAGGGGACAGGGAGCCCTGGTGTGGCCCTGGCAGGAAAACCAAGGGTAGCAAGCGTGGCCAGGCCTTGTCTAATCAATTGCAGATCTCATCCTTCCAGAACAATCTGTGCTTTTAACCTTTTTTAGGTCACATATTCCTCCAGGAATCCGACAAAAGTCTAAGTCCAAATTCCCCAGAAAAATGCATAAGCCTACAAAATGTTGTACGCAATGTCAGGAGCTTGCAGGACATCAAGAAGGCTGTTACGGATGCATGAATTGGAGAAAAGGAGATGTGGGTGGCCAGGCTCCATGCCTCTCATGGTTTGGGTTTAAAAGGCCATGGCACGTCACTGATGAGGCCATGGACTCCTGTTCCGCACAACAGCTTCAGTCTGAGCATCCAGTGTGGCAGTTAGGGGTAGCATCCAGCGTGGCATGAGGGACACCAGCTCTGGAGCCAGGCTTTGAGTTCATCTTTACCAGCCATAAGCTCTGAGACACTGGGCAGACCACACACTGTCTCTCCAGCAGGGATGAAGTTGCCAGGGTAACTGTATCCTCTTTCCCAGGGACCATCCCATCACTGACCCTCAGTTTCCCTATACCTGTAATCTGGATCAAATAAAGGTTTGTGAGGATTAAATGAGATGGTGCATGTGAAGACATGGCATTAGGCCTGTCATGCAGTGGGACTTCACTAAGGGATCCCTGCTGAAGTGATAGTTGTCCTCAAAGTCTGGGCAGCACTGAAGATGGAGGATGGGGCTTGCCTGATGTTTACCTTTTGTCTGGAGTTTGCCCAGCTTGGGGGAGGGAGGCTGACGAAACCCTGCTCACCTGGGCTGGCAGGGTTGCACGGCTCCTCTTCTGTGGAATATGATGAAGATGCCTGTAGGGTCCCATCTTTCAATGGATGATCCATAGTTCTTGCCAGCCGAGACGTTGCAGTTACCATCTAGAGGCTGGACCCCTGTTTTAGAAGCTCACTTCAGATGGCTGACAGATGACTGGCAGAGGTGGCTGGGTTGGTGGTTGGGTCCAAAGGGGACATGAGAGCCTTTGGACCTCCTTCTGCGGGCCCTGGCTGCCCAGTTGCAGAGGGGGGGCTGTGTCTCTCGAGGGATTCTTGGCCCTGCCCAGCGAGGCTGGTCTGATGACTTTAGGCCTTCGAGGAGCCCAGGGTAGGCTATGGATGTAAGACAAACTCTCCCTCTCCTCCCCTGGTGGGCAGCCAGATGGTGGGTGCAGGCTGGAGTCAGGACCCTTGGCAGGAGGCTCCTGGGGCCTCTTGGTGCTACTGAATTGAAGGTAGAAGAACTGCCAGTCCCACTGAGATATATGAATTCAAATACACCAAGAACTTGATTTTAGAAACTAGAGAGTTGAGTTTGGGGCATCGGTGGTTCAGTTGTAGAATGCTACCTTCTATGCGAGAGACCCTGGTTTGATTCCCAATGCACCTCAGGCACAGCCACTACCCATCTTTCAGGGGAGGCTTGTGTATTGCTATGATGCTGAGCTTCAGAGGAGCTTCCAGACTAAAACAGACAGGAAGAAAGTCCTGGCAGTCTGCTTCCTAAAATCAGCCAAAGGAGCACAATGGTTTGATCCACAACCGCTCACGGAGATGGTGTAGGACCGGGCAGTGTTTTATTCCGTTGTTCATGAGGTCGCCAGGAGTTGGGTTGACTTGAAGGCAGGTAATAACAACAACAAGAAAAACAAGAGGGTTAGGGTGGGGCTATCTCCTGGGACCCAGAGACTAGCTCACTCCCTCCTCTCTTGATCCTAATCCTCCTTCCTCCTAGGGAATAAGAGGAAAAAAAAAAAAGACCCTAGGAGCCCTATTCGGTGGCAGCTGCAGTGACACCAGCTCCTAGGGGTCAGGATGGGCCTGGGAAGCAGGCAGAGCTCCCAGCCCAGAGCCGGACTTCTCTGAAGGCTGGGATCGCTGAGAAAGGCAGGCATGCCGGTGGGGAACAGGGGAGGTGCCGTAGGGCCCCAGGAAGGGGGTCAGGGCAAGAAGGTGGAGGAGGAGGCCTCTTCCAGCCTTCAACTCTCTCTAGGCTTTGGATCCCACGCCAGGGAAGGTCAGGGAGACAGAGAATCACCCTGCAGCCTGTGTAATCACTGGCGCCTTAAAGAAAGAGCCTCAGAAGAAGGTTTTACTTGAGAGAGGGAGAGAGGTGAGGGAGAAAGCCTGGAGAGGGCACAGCCCACTTTTTTCTCTCTAGAAACAGGGTTCTGAAATTGGCTCCAAGGGTGGGCTGGGGCTGGGGGAAGGGGCGTCAGTGTCCTGGTTGGTCCCGAGGTTGACGGAGCAGAGAGGGCTGGCTCCTCAAAGGGTGTCCTTTCCCTGAGCCTCATGCCCCGCTTGCCTCCACAGCTCTGTATCAGGAGCCAGGCTGGACTGGGTGATCAGTGGTGGCAGTGGGGCCCAGAGGCATTCCCTGAGCTGGAGGTGCAAGGTCCTGGGTGCATAGGCTCCCTCTTGGGACCCAAGCCTACCTATCTGTAAAATGGGTTTAGCACTCCAGGCCCTCCCTGGCAGAGCTGTTAGGAGGATAGGACGATGTCATCTTGGAGAGAGAGAACACTTGGGCCTAAGTGCTTCCGCTTCTAATAATCTCTCATAGCCACCTGGCACTCTGGGGCCTGAGAGGCGCTTTGCCATCCATTATCGCACCTCAGAGGGAGACAGGCAGGGCTTACTCACCCATCCTGCAGATGAGACAGAGGCTTGGAGAGGTGGAGGGCCCAGCTCCGGGGATGGGTGGCAGCACTTAGATTTGGGTCCAAGTCTCCAGGTCCCTGCAGTGTGTGAGGGAAGGCGCTGTTGAGTAGGAACACTCCTGGTGCCGCATCTGGGGAACATCCTCTCTCTTGCTCACTTCAAAGGCAGAGGGGCAGCGGCCTTGTGG